TTCATAAGGCGATCTATTATCTCCAAGTCCTTGTATTTTGTGCAATCTACTGTAACATACATATAAATTGTTCCTTGCATTATTTTTCTATCCTCCATGTGATTTGTAATGATTGTTGCCCTGGGTTTTTTGTTTTTCTCCCCTTTGATACTGTATCTATTTCTTACCTTTTTTTCAATAAAGATTTACCTGTGAAAAAAAAGAAGAACACACTACCCACCATTAGCCACACACATATTTCAACAAAACAATTTTTTATTGCATTATTTACAATTTCATAACCTTATACCCCTTCTCACCAAACCAAATCTAAAAATCTCGGAATTGCACTTGCAATATTCAGTGGAAATATATGGCTGAACAAGGCATGGTTCCCTAGTAGTACCTTGATTAGGCAACAGTTGTCAGACATATTCCATGTACATTTACTGGCATGTTCGGTGGGAATAGTTCAGTAAAAACTTTACAAAAACAAAATTAAAATCCATTCTGCCTTTTTGATTGTGTGTATTGGTGTGAATTATATAGCAATATATGTATCTGCATCTTAAAAATGACTGGACACAATGGTAGCATTCAGTAAATGTGTATGCACTGTTAATAGTAGAGACAGGAAAATTTTCTGTAGATTTAGGAAAGAAACATATACAGTATGTTGCCACTCTTTGTGAAATGTATGCATTTCACTTCTTTGGTAATTGTATAAGTATTCATTTTTACTAGGAGGTATAAAATTAGGAGCAACAGATTAAGACATAACAAGAATTATAATTCAGTGGAGTGAAGATCAACACATTAGCCTTTCATGGGGGCTTGAATGGGATACTTCAACCTTTACCCATTTCAAGTCTCCTACCTCCAGCCCAGTTCACTGAGACAGCACCTTTAGGACTGAATGTACAAATTGACCTGCCTGCCATCATTAACATATTTACCCATATACATTTTCTGTATGTTTCTAGGACACATATGTAGGAAATGCAGGCAGTGGTATCAATATGTTCAGTGCCAGTGGTTTGACCTGACATTAATGTGTTTGTTAACTGGACTGATGAGGTACGAAAGCCTGTAAAACAAGATAAGGACACAACTAAGCTGAATGATATGCAAAAAGCAGGTAGGAATTGTATCCACTGCAGTCATTAATTGTGACTGAAGGGACACCTTTTCACATTCACAGTCTGTTCTAATATCAAACCATCTGCAATGAAGAATGTGTAAGTATGTCAAGAGGATGAGGAATCTTTTGGATGATGGCTTATATCCTAACAAGCAAGCATCATGTAGTGTCTATGGGTACTGTGAGAATGGTAGTAATTTATAAATTGCTCTTGCTAATGTATTTGTATTGCATTCAGTGTGTGCTTTTTTTTCTTTTTAATGAAATATGTGCAGGATAGAGGGAAGTGAATGCATGACGTCAAACTTAGCCATAGCATATTACAAGAATAACACATCAAGCATGTTGACTTGGTGCTTCCGGGACCAAAACCCTTTACAATCTCAGATTGCAGAGTCAGTATTGTCTTCGGCATCTCAGTGAGTTTCCTTTACTCTTACGCTTTAGGTAAAGAGAAGTCCCAGGCTGTCTCCTGGGCACACTTCCACATGGCTCTCACAAGGCGATGGAATCCCATGTCTTTTGGCTTCTCCAGTCCTCTCATCAAACGCTGCTTCATGATAGCAATGAACTCTTTATTGCTCAGTTCTCCGTTCCCTGCCATCGAATATTAGAGAGAGATCATTTTAGGGTAAACAAAACAAGGCTTTATTTGGTAAGCTAATTTTTTAAATTTTTTATGGCCACTACCTCAAAAATGTAGTTCGCATCCAGAATACAACCAACAGACCCAAGCTGTTAAAGAACTATAAGTTCCTGTATACACTACCAGCTTCTGGCATGCTGAGTATACAGAGACATTTAGTCCCTCCACAGTCCTGGTAAGCATTTTTAATATTTACATATTGTAAAGTATAGACACAAGCTAATTTCTTATTGTTAATTACATAATAGAAGTCACTAGCACTCGATGATATGTGCAAGAAGTAAAGCACTTTTTATTAAATTGTCACATGCGTCATACAGAAGTTTCAGGGCCACGCAGGGTCCCTTCTTCTGGGCGACATAGTGACATCAATAAAAAGTGCTTTACTTCTTGCACATATCGAGTGCTTGTGACTTCTATTATGGACTGTATCTGACACTGCGCCATCCGTGTTATCACTTCAAGCACCAACCTTTAACAAGGTCTGTATGCTGTATGGAGTGCAGGTGATTTTGTATTATTTATTGTTAATTACAACACAACAGTCAAATTAGTCCCTATATGTAAATTATCATATATTTTCATTGATTTTGTGCTCCGTCATCCTTTTATGTTCTCAATAATTCTTGTGTCCCACTTAACTATCCTCAGGAAGCAATCAATAGTGACTTAAAAATGATCCATGTAATTTATCAGCAGAGCAGTGCTAGGCATTTTTGCGATTGTAGTCTGCTGAAAATGGCCCCAGAGGGCAAAAAGGGGTCAAATCTACCATCAGAGATGCATGCCCATAGGCTTTAATTCGGTTGGTATTGGATAGAAGGAATTGACTGCCACTCTACTACTAATTGCCCTGGTCTTTCTATAGAGGCTGCAGAGCCTGATTAGGAACTCTTTTGCTTAGACAGAATAGTGACTGATCTAAAGGCAATGTTGATGTTACAGGAAATTACAGTCATGTGAAAAAGTAAGCAAACTCCATCATAACTGTTGACTTAAAAAAAAATTATATTTGAACAGGCAAACAATAGATCTTCAAACAGTGCCTATTGATAACAATGAAATAAAAACACACACAAGGAAGATTTGCTTTTTAAACCATTTACTCAACTGGAATAGCAATAATTGAAATGGTGTATTGTGGAAAAAGTAAGTACACCTCAGAAGCTAGTACTGCCCCTTTAGCATAAATTACTTCTTGCAGGTGTTTTTTTATAACTACCCGCCATCTCTGACATTGACTAGGTGACATTTTTTTAATCACTCTTCTATGTAAAATTCCCTAGTTGCAAGATATGCAATGCCTGCATTTTACCTAAATACATCCTGCCTGACTACAATGTTCAACAGGGTTTTTCACTGCTATGCTAATGATTTCTAAGTTCCGAAGTTGTGGCAAAAGTTGGATGTACACTTAAACCTGCTCTTTACCTGAACTAGGCAAAATAACATGTTCCCCTAATAACAGGGACCACCAAAAATGTATACTTGTTCTACCTGCATGTTTCTGTCGCAGCTCATCAAAAGAGGATTAGGGAGGTAAAGCTCAATTCTGGAATACCAGCTATTTAGATTTTTCAAAAATTACAAAAATAAAAGGCTGAAAAACAGACACTACCTACTACTAAAGTCCTGTGTTACAGTACTACATCACATACTGAAGCAAGTCAGAATGGTTAGAACTGTGTGCTTACTATTATCACTCATCAGAGAAATCTCATGTAGTGAGAGGCAGAAATAGATAACTCACAGGAGGCAGGTAACTCTAAAGTGCACTGTTTGCTAGTTGACTGAACATAACAAATAAAAAAAACCTAGAAACGGAATGTCCACCATCAATACACCTCTATTCCTTGGTGATCATCTGTTTGTGAAACATACACTGCAGCATATGGATGCAATGTTAGGCCCCGTTCACAACAGGGCATTTCGTTGGACGTTGTTTTCCATGCTGAAACATAAACATAAAATCTCATGTATTCCTATGGGGGCCGTTCACACAAACACGCTGAATCATGCGGAAAAATATGCCTGGTGTTTGAAATAAATGATAGAAGTCACCTTGTAATGTGCAAGCATAAGCACTTTTATTGATGCGTCACAGAGCCAACGTTTCGGGGCCACGCAGGGTCCCTTCCTCGGGGTGACAGTGAGCTATTTGGTATGGTCAAAGCGCTGTATGGAGTACAGGTGATTCACTAACACTATTTGGTGTTTGAAATAGTCCCTGAGCTTCTTTGAGGCAATTATCAGCCCATTTTGCTCTAATGACTTCAATGTAAAGACACAGATCAGCGCGGTTTTACGCTTTTAGCGCGTTTTTGCAGCCAACTGCTTTTCACTGGACAGCTATAAAATGAGCTGAAAACATGCAGCTGTTGCTTATGAACAGAAAACGCCTGTAAAACACGCATAAGAAAACATGCAAAAACACGCGTAAAGCTGAAACGCTGTCACCCTGGTGTGAATGGGGTCTTATTCTACCATACCATGTAATATTAATATTTTGACAATACGCCATGTTTTGTTTTGCAGGTTTTGTTGGAAAAAAAAAATCGCTGATTCCATGTTTAGTGCCAATTTATGTATTCATATTATGCTCTCCATTTTTTTTAAATGATTTTTGCTTACAACTTACAGAATTTGTAAAAGACTACCAAACTATACGTTTGCTCAAAGCACAGGCCTGATAAAATAAAAAGATACAGGCAGTCCCCGGGTTACATACAAGATAGGGACTGTAGGTTTGTACTTAAGTTGAATTTGTATGGAAGTCGGAACAGGTAAATGTTTTAATGTAACTCCAGCCAAAAAACACATTTTTTAGTTTTGGATAGCATAGGGAAGGGTCACGTTTGTTTTGCTTTCTCTTACTGTTATTCAGAAGATTATAATTAGGGCTGTTACTGATAAAAAAATTTGTGTTCGATTGAAAATTTTTTTTCATTGATTTCATTTTGATTAATTATAAAGCACATACAGATCCAACTACATTGGCCTATACACTTACAGCACAGCAATGAAGTAATAAAATGAACTAGGATCACACTAATCCAGCACGTCATTAATCTCACGTGCCCCACTCAATATGGCCGCCGCTTGAGTGGGGCAACTCAGAATAATAACGTGCTGGATTAGTGTGATCCTAGTTCATTTTATTACTTCATTGCTGTGCTGTATGTGTATAGGCCAATGCCTTGGCTGGGGCTCGTGCAGAAAGTTTCTTGGGCAAACTCACCGGCCCAAGTGGCTCCGTCACGAAGGGAAGGGGGAGGAGTCCGGTGACGTCGATGTCCGTGACGTCACCGGATCTCCAAAGGGACTCCCGGAAGCCGGTGGAGAGGGGAGTATTTTCATTAGCGATCAAAAAAATTTTAATCGATCAGCAAGATTAACGATTAATCGAGAAATTATTCGTTAATTTGCACAGCCCTAATCATAATATAAGAAAACATTTTTTTATTTAAAATGACACACCACAAAAAGTTTTCTTCTATTTTTAATTTTATTTTATAAACTATTTTTTTTTACATTTGTTTGCATTTCTAATTTTTATTTAACTTTTATTTACATTTTTTTGTCTTTTTTAAAACTTTTTTGTCTTTTTTAATGCTGGGAGCAAAAGCCAGCCTGCTATTGGATATTTCAAATTGCAATAGCCAATAGCAGGCTGGCTATTGCATCTGTCCACTGTCCACCAGCAGAGGAGGGGCCTGAAGGAGAAAGTTCTCCATCAGGTCCTCTAATGCTGATTGACAGCAGGCAGAGGGCGGGTGCAATAGCCAGCTTGCTATTGGCTATTGCATTTAGCCAATAGCTAAATGCAGATGAAGAGGAGGCAGGGCGGCGGGGCAGAGGAGCCGCGGCCGTACCAGGGGAGCGGAGGATCGTCCGGACCGGGGAAGCCGACGGACCGGCGGAAGAGGAGGCCGGGACAGCAGCGGAGGTACGGGGGGCAGCGGAGAAATGCAGCGGTCTGTGTCCCCGCTGCCTCCGCCAACAGCGTGGATTTGAAGGGACACAGGCCGCCGCAGTTCTCCTAAATGTACTGGCAGCTGCCGCTACATTTAGGAGAACTGTGGACCCCGTTCATAAGTACGGATTGTCCGAAAGTCGGATGTCTGTAAGTCAGGGACTGCATGTAGTGCTAAAGATTCATCACTAATTTGCTTGATAAAAGGAGCTTTGAGTGATGCAACATATTCCCAATGACAATATCATGGGCAAGCACAAATAAAAGTTAATTCTAGTTGTCTACTCTATGTGATCAGTTTTTCTGCACATTAGGAGCCTTCCCAGCTTCCAGAAACTCAGGCTGTTACTATTTAGAGATCTAAACAGCTCTGCTATTAGAGACTAAAGTATTGTTCTAGCTTAGATCATGGATCATCTTTAATTGTTGACTTGCTTCCTAAAATAAGCAACAATGGGCAACTCTTGCATCTTTCAACACTGTACTAATCTTTTATAAATCAAGGAATATTGGTTTTGCGCAAGAAAAGACAAGGTAATTGAATAGCTTTGAACGTATTAATCATAAAAGTGAAGCATGTAAATGTTACCAACATCTAGCATCTCATTATGCAGATTAATGTCAAAGACCAGTCAAAGAGTGCATCATTTTCCTCTAGTCAATTAGGGATCATCTGACCTAACAGCAAGAGGTATTTATTTGCAATGAACTACCAAAATCCTCTAAATTAGGAAAATGGATGTAGTAAATACCAGGCTGTTAAACTATAATCAGGTTCATTAAAGTGTCATATAATCATGTTGTGTCTTGCAGACAATTTTTCCTTTATTCTTTTATTCAATAATTGAGGTGTCTGCCTTTTTTTAATAAAATGTTGTGCTGTGCTATTGGAGAGGCAGAACATATAGTGTACCCACAATGTATTTAACATGTGTATGTGTATATATCATATTATAAGTGAACAATATTAACAAAAATACTAGGGTTGCACAGATACCAAGTACAGTACTCGGTACAAGTACCGATACTTTTGAGCTCCAAGACTACACTAGAGAAAAATGCAAAAATTAGGAGGCCACTGTCATTTGTAAGGGGCACAAGGAGCTCCTGGGATTTGTACATCTCTGTTTTAATGTACGATTTTGTTTTTATAGATATAAATAAAGGGATGCACAGATACCAGTTTTGCGAGTACGAGTACTGGTACTCGCCGAGTACTTACAAGTACTGATACAATTTTTGTTTATTGCCATGTGACAGTTTTTCTAAAACAATACAGACTAATGATTTCAGGACAGTGGTGGAGTGCCAGAGCCAGGTCCCAGCTGCAACCGCTGCAACTCTGGTAGTTCTCATGAAAATGCCAAGTATCTGCACTGGCACACGAAAAGCATCTGTGCATCCCTAAAAAATACTCTTGCAAGGAAAAAATATTCTTGTCCATGAAATAGAAATCCATGAGGAGTCCTCCTCCTTACCATAACTGGAGAGCCTAAAAGAGAAATCCTTAATCCTAATGGATGGTGTTTGCCTTTCTGCTGACACATGGGTACAGGGATCTGAAGCAGCTCAGCAATGCACACAATGTTCCACTGAATGTTGCTTATGTTTCTCGGTTACATATATTCTTTAAAAGCCGGTGCAAACATGATAAATTTGTACTGCCAAGCAAAGCAGCAACAGGGGCTATAAAATGACAATCTCTTATAAGTTAAAGAAATGAGGGACTTGACTATCACTGTACCGATATCATGGTAGGACTGTTGATTATACTGAATGAATTCTAATATAGGATGTATAGGCTTTTCAGCATACTGGACAAACTGACATGTAAACAGAAACTGTAGATGCTGAACTCTAGCTGTTGCCCCTGTATATACCCCTACATTCATTATTGCCAACAATGCTTGCCTCAGCTATTTTGCCAAAATGAAACATGTCTGCAAAGAACGATCAGCTGAAGCCCACCACTGCTGGTATTTAGTTGCATCATATTTCTTTAGCAGAAAGACTAACCTTTTCTGATTTTGTGTTTAGAATCTGCATGCAGTGCCACACCTCAGATGAGATGCAAGCACATCACTTTTCAGGCCCTGCAGCAAAGAACTGGCCAAGTTACTATCCTTTACAATCATAGTCTAATGCCAGTGTTCTTTTAACAATATTACTAAGATAAAAGAACTGGAAAACTGTGAATTCAGGGATGTTAAACTACAGAACCTGTTAATGCTCATCATACATATGTCAAATGGAATAGAATATCGGCCATGTGCCCATTTACCAGACTGAACATATGATATTAAGGCCTCATTCACACACAATGCAAGAGCAAAATTATATATTGCGTATATACGAGCGTATGTGCGTGCACTATTTGCATTCCCAGAATGCATCATTCCTAATAGAAATTTGAATTGAAACGGTACGCACGTACGCACATATATATGCCTAAACATGCGTATGCACGTAAAATACGCAGAAATACGCTGCCCGGACGCATCTCTGTTCCATTTAGTTTTTGCGCATTTTTACGCTACGCAAATATACGGCTCCATACGCGGCTATGTGTATGGAGCCATTTATTTGCATATGTTGCATATGGTACAATACGCATATACGTGCGTATATGCGCGGCAGTGTGAATGAGGCCTAAGGGTTTATAAGATAGTCACATAAATTAAGTCTTACTATTACAAGCTATGTAACAAGTCCTGTGGGCTAGACTAGACTGAGAGATACTGCAAAAACACTGAGCTGCCAGTCTCAATCCATAGAGCAGACAGCCGAGAACTAGCTTGAAGCTGGTGCCATTCAAATCCACATTAAAAGTATAATGCGTGTAATTAGTAAAATCTCAAGTGATGGCTGAAGAAATAATGAAAAAGCTTTTTTTTTTACAAGTTCATTACGAAAAAGGCTCTAAATAAGGTATTACAAATGAAATACAGGTCCATACAATTATGTCTACATATTAGCCTCAGCAATGAAATGGTATTGAAATGTGAAGAAAATCCCTTCTTTATTCTTTCTTTCAAGCTCCTCCCCTGATGAAGCCAAATTTCTGGGTTTTACTAACTTTGAGCTGAGAAACATACCCCAGCACAGAGATTAAATCATCTGACTAGGCTCTAATACTCAGCTGACATCATTATCAATGTGCCATCATGCAGCAACTTGTATGATGTAAGAGCTTTTGTGCACCAGCAGCCTTTGCAAGGACAGAAACAACAAGCAGAAAACAAACAATCACAATCAGCGATGGTGGTGGGGGTTGCAACCCGAGCCCCACTGATACCTCTGCACCCAAGTTTCATAAGCAATGGCAACTACATGAAGAATGTTATTTTTCTGGAAGATAATCCTTCATCATTCTGGCATTTTAGTAGTTTGCCAAGCTGAACATTGGTTCACACTACAATATGGTTTTCTCTGTTATGTGTCAGAGACAGCTACAGTTTAAAGAGAGTTCAAGCTAATACCATACATTTTCTTTAAACAATATGAAAAGGCCACAGCCATCAGTCTAATGTATATGCTATTAAATAAATAAAGCTCTAATGAGATATAAAATTAATCAAATGCTGCAGACCCATTTGATGGTGACTATAAACTATGCACTCCAGTAATCTGCATTAGGCTTTTCAATTCATTAATAGAAGTCAGTAAGCAGACTGATTTTGTGCTTTTAGAGTAACAGATCTCACAGTCTTTGAACTCTTTCTTCTGCTGGCACCTCAGAATGGTGGCATGACATGATTCAGGATGTAGCAAGATATGCTGGATTATGCACAATGTGAAATTGTTATGGTTTATATTTTGTCAGAGTTTTGTCATATTAAACATATTAGTATTGCATGTGCAATTATCTACCGCCACTGTAATTTGCTTTATCCTTCCAGAGCTATAACACCACAGTCAGTGCACTTCTATGTATCGAAAAGTATATGAAGAAACAGTGAGCCACAAAGGTTCTAAATACTTCGTACAAGTCTAAAATCTTTAGCTTCTGTCATTTGCCTTAGATCACGTCCCAAGTCCCACCCACCTACCCACCCACAAATCAATAGCACTGTGTAGCAGGGCTGGGCCTGCCCAGCAGGGCCTGAGTACAGGAATTCAGCAAGGTATGAGGGGACAATTAGTTCTGTAATTACACCTCCATAGTCACCACTCTGACATCCATGCCCCATACCAATTTTTAAAAAAAGTTAACAAACTGATCATGTGGAGCTTGATGATTGAGCACTCCATGCGAAAGATACTGAGCTTGTGACAGCTGCACAATAAAGTGAAAAAATGTATTAATTTAAACTCAAAGTTTAGAAATCACACTTTCATATATTAATGAAAGTCAATACCCTTCCCTCTCTGGAACATTGCCTTTGAAGGTCTTGGTTTCAAGCATTATATTAGCCTATTTCAATCTGTCCATTGCTTTTAATCTGTATTTTCCTTTTTCACATCACTTGTCCAACTCCTCCTTAGGTCTATCTTTCGCCTCAATTTTCTACAAAAATGTTCTTCGAGATTCTTTCTCTATCTTCCATGACTTAGCTAAGCCATCTAGGATACTGGGTTCCTAAAGTCACCACTATAGTTGGGTGTACTGCATATTTATTCACAGATAAATACCTTAATGGAATGAAACAATGCTTTAGTTGCACAGGGTTATATCAAGCTGCCCTAAGTCATATTAGATCATTTATATTTAACCAATAAGTTTACGTAGGCATTTTCACAGCGCTTGTAATATCTTATGTTTACGGTAAATATAGCCAAAAAAAAAGAGACTCATCATGGTTAATCAAACTATTCTTTAAGTAAATCACACTTTTGTGGTTGGGAAACTACCAAAGATATTTTAGACAGAACATTTAAAGAAATGGCCTGAGGTCTCTATACAAATAACATCCGACAGGCACTACAGAACATTATAGTCAAGAAGGACTTGAAGGTGATTTTTTTTATTTCTGCAGGGTGGTTATATAAATTTCCCCTGAGTAATAGAATAAATAACCTTGGAATTGAAAAGCAATGAATATATAACAATGATAAATCATGAAAACTCACCATCACAGTCAAAGAGAGCAAAGACTACATCACAGACATGATCAGAGAGCTCCACCTTGGCCACGGTCCTGGCAACTTGCTGCATTGTAACTAGAGAGAGAATAACACAGAACATGAGTTATAAATGGGTATCATTAAAATTTCCATGGGTCTCTATTACTCATTATTGCTCCTGACAATGTGCAGCTGGTTTCTTTTTTTATTTAATGCACCCACTTTATTACAAATAAAACAATAGCTTTCATCAATACTCATATTGTGGTAAACCAGAAATGGCAATGTAATGCCAGTCCATTATGAGGCTTTGTAACAATACTGTACATCAAACTCCAACAAACTTTTCATTTTTTTTTTCTTTTGACAAAGCCGGGAAGGGTTAGACTATTTGTTAAATGATATTTCTATCTGTCTCAGTGTTGGGAGCATTTCCCTCCATTTCCTATTCCAGTGATCACACAGAAAGTTAGTGGAAAGGGGGCCCAGATGGCAATGAAACCATGACAGAAGTTCTACCTGTTCCCAATTCTACAAAACAACATTGTTTTGATTGTTGCCTAAGTGAATGGAAACCTTTCCCAAGAGAGCAACTAAAAAAGGAAACATTTTGGCTTGTATGTCACTTCAATAAAATGAAAAAATTTAGAATTAGCACAATGTTTTACTAATATACATTAGGTCATTTTAAGTATTTTTACATAAACAGTAAATAATGAAGAGACTTCCTTTTAAGTAACAAGGGTTTTAATTGACTTAAACTGAAGCGGTGGAAATTGTCAACACTGGTGCTGCTACTAATAGAAAAAAGAGGCTTCTTAGGGAAGTCATGAACTATGTAATAACCGAAAAGAATATAGCTTAATCCAGTGTAAATAAATATTTTTTGCAGAAATTTTCAATCAAGATTGAGAATATTAGTTCAGAAAAATATAGCAAAACTTGCTAAAGTCTGAACTCTATGCCCCGGTAATGCCTCTAATACAATATGTAAACAGTACTTAGAACACACAAATACCGATACATCAACAGAGTTGTAAAAAAAATAAAAATAAAAATACTACATTTATCAAAACTGGAGCAAACAGAATCTGGAGCAGTTGCCCATAGTAACCAGTCAATATCTCTGTCTATACCTGTGCCTCTGACAGAAATCTCTACCCCATTATCTGTTACATATCTCTAGGGCTGCAACAACTAATCGACTATAATTGATTATTGAAAAAGTTGTCAACGTTTTCAATCATCGATTAATCGGCTTCCGATTGGTTGCCCCTGTTCACGGCTCCACACATGCTGTGCGCCACACTTCCTCCCCACCTCACGCTCGCCGCTGCCAGACCCGCCCGCATCCACGCTCCACACGCCGCCCCTCCTCCCCACCTCACGCTTACTGCCCGCCCACATCCACGATCGTCACAGGAACGCGGGGAGAAGAAGTAAGGAGGAGCAGGTGTGGGCGGATGACAGCCGCCGATAGACAGGCCCGATCTCAGAAACAAGTTGCTGGAAGACTGCTCCGGTAAGCCTGCACTTTCCCACACATGGTGCTCTATAATGTATTGCTGGGATTTGTTGTATTCCTATATAGCTGGTGGTATTCTGCATTGCGCTGTATAGAGGACTACAAATCCCAGCAATAGTACATTATACAGCGCAATGCAGAATACCACCAGCTATAATGTACTATTGCTGGGATTTGTTGTATTTCTCTATAGCCGGTGCCATTCTGCATTCATTGCTGTATAATTTTACACTTTCCATTTCACTATATTGCACACCACACTTTTTTTTTTCTTTTTTACTTCCACCGCTCCAAGCTTGCTCCTGTGATGGACTACAATCTCAATACAAACTAGTAGTCCCATCACTGGAGCCATTTTTAAAAATGTATTTTATTTTATTTTTTATCCGATTAATCAAACTTAATAAATCGGCTAACTAATCGATTTTGAAAATAATCATTAGCTGCAGCTCTTCATATCTCTGTCCCTTTAATCAGCCACCTACACTATCTAACATTTGGATGATTACTTTTTCCCAATGCATGCAATTTTATGAGGGCCACAACTGCAGGCCCCTTTCCATTATGGTGATGTTTCAACAGCAGTGAGGCCCCTCATTTTGGAAGACAACTTCAGCATATGCATTAGAATCTGAAAAACCACAAGTGAATTAATAATTTGTCATATCTCATAACTCTCCACAACGCTAATATCTTGCATGCAATGCTCAAAGGGCTCATAAATCAATGCACTGCAGTCCCTTACTGGAACCTCTGCAATTATTTTATCATGTAATGCAATATTTTATTAAAACACATATTTGAAGCATATTTAATAGTTTTCTAATACTGCAGTTGACAGCAAATGTAGTAAATGGAGATATTTGGAGCCTTTGATACTACCAATTTAACACTTGTTTAATGTTTAGTTATAATACAACTTCCTCTTGATAATTATTTTCTGTCCCTAGTTATAAATTATGTATCAGGGAAGCACAGATGGTGATAGTCTGATGATTTTGCATATACTTAGGGAATTATGTGGCAAGTGTACATATCATTAGGAGCTTTAAAAAGTAACAGTATTTTCCTCGCTGATGGAACTGTGGCATCTTGGTATTAAAGTCGACTTTTTCTTTTTAACATAAAAAAGGACCTCCACTTCACATCTCTCTATGTGACTAGACAGTGAATAGAGAAGCAGCAAACTCATGGGCTCAATGCTCTCTCACTCTCCTTCTACGACCATATCATTTGTTAGTACTGCAACACAACTGATTGGCTTCTTGTGCTGCTTTTCCCTCCCCTCTTCAAATTTTGACATACAGAAACTACAAGAGGCTGTCACTAAGTCATATTCAGGAACAAACATTGCTTACATTTAACAAATCATTTAATAATGTAGTAATTATTACAGAGCTGGAATAATGTGTTTTTAACATCCGCCAAGAGCATTAGGTCTATCTTAATTGTGTTAAAAAAATCATGTATAACAAAATGAATACAGTTTTTTACTTGGCTAATACTTACTATAAAATAAGCAAAATCATAAGTTCCAGGAGTCTAAAAAGTTGTATTAGAAAATGTTCATTTATTTTACATTTTAACATCAAATAAATGATGAGACATTGAAATGCAAAGCGATATTAAAAAACCCATAGCATTTTACATACAGTTGGAAGCTAAATCTACTTTGTCATCATTAATACTGATACTACGTGAAATAGTGGCAGGACAGAAAACCAATCAAGCTCTGCTTTGTTGCACAGAGCTGTCGTTTGAAAATGACGTCAGCTTCCTGATAGGCAAAAAGAGCAGAGTAAATGTCTCATCAATATACTGATGCTCCTTCATTGTCCAATCACAGACCCGGGTGAGTCCTAGACCAAGTAGTGGCCTACTACTATTCAACTGCAGTGCAGTTTGCATAAAAAAGTCTCAGGACATGCAGGATCTGGCTGTGCGGTCTGATAGGAGATCCTGGATCAATCACAGGCTGTGTAAAATTACACGCCCACTATAAACTAAGATTAACACATCTATGTAGTTTTACCGCATATTTAGTTGTTTGCCTGGGCCTTTCATAAAACCATGGGCTCATATTAAACAGTGTAACATTGTGTTAAAAATTGGGCATCATTGGCATACTACTAGAAAAATCTTACGTTTTTCATCTTGTAACAATCTCAAGAAACCTTAGTGATGCAATGTAGGCAAATAAGTCTAAAACTATTTTATTATAACATAACATAGGTATAGGCGAGGATAGAACAAACTGTCTCCTAAGTTTAAAAAGCTATCCCAACATTATAATGCTGTTAAATGGGAGGTTTCTAAGGGAACAGTAAATGCACTGGAGATGGTTTCCACACACCAAATCAAAACCAAGAGCAGTCCACCCTAGTGTGATCACAGCATCCATTAAGCTAATGTCATAAAGACCAAGATCTGTATTATGCTATTCAAAGCCATCTGAACAAAATATCCTATCCCGTTAGTAAAAATACAGTCAAAAGATAACTAGCAAACTGTGAATTTCTGTAGCAGCTTCGACAACAACTTCATCAACAAAACAAGCGTTAAGTGTTTAGTATGTGCCAAACAATAGCAGAAAATCACTGGTAAAGATTGGAAGGTCTTGTTTACAGAGAAAGAAAAGCTTATGCAGGGAGAATACCACATGACAGGTTCAAGCAAAATAGAAAATTCACAGGTTAAATCTACAGTCAAGCAAGGTTGAAGTATGTAATAATGAGGGGTTTGTTGATCTTTCCTGGAATTTGTGACTTCCAGAGAATCGAGAACAAAAAACTAACCAAAAAAAGTAGGGATGCACCAATATATCGGCCGCCAAAACATATCCGCCAAAATTGGCACTTCTGGCATAATGCCAACAGTGTTATTTTCTGGCCGATACAGCAGTGCATCCATTCTTTCCTCCACGCTGGGCGCTGCTCTGTGTCCCAGAGGGGAGGAGAGAAACTGTGACAGCCGGCCGAAGGCTCTGCGGGAGGAGAGCACCGTGAGCGGCTGCCATCTCTCTTCCCACACCGCTCAGCCTCCTATCGCAGATCAGCAGAGCGATGTGTGTGCGGAGACAGCCAGCGCTGTCGCAGCAGGCTTAGCTCCTTTGGCTCAACCTCCTGTGACAGCGTGTCAGGAATGAGACGAGTGCAAACACTCAGCAATCAGTGATCGCTGAGTGTTTGTACATAAATGAGGACATAGTATGGTTACTATATCCTCAATTATGAATGAATGGGAGTGATCTACTCCTGTTCATTCATGATTGTGGTTATAGTAAACATACTATGTTCTCGTGATATGAACGAACAGGGACACTCAGTATAGAGGATTCCCGTTCATTTATAACTGGGGCTGCAGAAAAAGAGATTGCGGACTTTGTGTCGTTTTTGAAATTTTCATTTCGGTGCACCTCTAAAAAAAAAAAGATGCCACTCTATTCTGATGAGGTATGTCATCCCCTCTGGCTTTGTGTAAGATGATGCATATTCCAGGAGAATGAAGATCTTAAACATTTTACTAAAACAGTTAATTGCAAGGAAAAGCCAGAAGTGCTGATTTGCGTGAC